AGAACAAGCCCTTAGGGGAGGGACCGGGGTGGGGGTGGTGAGAACTCAGGAGTCCACCGAGATTGGCCTCAGAGCCCCCAGCCCAGCCGGTTGTGGGGGCCTGGAGTCTCCCTGAGCCGGTGGTCAGGGCCTGGGGACAGGACAGCGATGTTGGCTGAGGTTCCACCAGACCTGCATTTCTCACACATGCTGTCCCAGTCCTTCCTGGGGGTCAGCTCTGCCCCGTGCGTGACTGGCGTTGGGGACAGAGGGCATTGAACTGTGAGGGTTTTGCGGCCCCTGACCCCACACGCCTCTCAGCTGCCACCTCCGGTCTCTGCTCCCCCCACCCCCTCCCTGCTGGCCATCCTCTCAGGAGCCCTGCGCTGTGGTCCGTGGCTCCTCAGTGGACAGCTTGCCCAGCCAGCGGGTCCACCCTTGCCACAGGGACCCGCTTCCGAAAAGCGTGGGAGCGGGGCCGCTGCAGAGGAACAAGGGCGCGGTGACACCTGGGCTGGTTTCTAGGCAAACAAGAGGAAAGACTTCAGAAGGGATGAGAGTGCGTGGTGGGAGGGGTCCCCATGGTGGCCAGGCCCACGTGGGTGCATCAGCAGCAAGCAGGTGTGTGACACTTGGAGGTGTGGGCTGAGCTGGGCGGGGTGGGGGGGGGGTCGGCCGGGCCCACAGGATGGCGGTGGATCGAGCGGGTGACATACAGTTAGTTGTCTGTGCTCCACGGGCCGCTGTGGACCGATGCGGATACAGGGGCCAGGTGTGCAGGGCCTCAGGCGGTGGAGGCCGGTGCCGCCGGAGAGGGGAGCGCTGCCCACCAGACCCCCGGGTTGTTCCCTCAACCTCAGAGGCTCCGGTTTTTGTCAATTTAAGAAAAGGTTTTTCTCACCACCTGTGGGAGACGGCGTGCACGCGCACACACACACACACACACACGCACGCGCACCCGGCCGTCTGGACGCCCTGATCCCCTTCCCTGTGTGGACCCCGTGTCACTTGGCAGGCGTGGCGAAGGCTGACCCTGAGTGGCCCCCTGCCCGCTGCGAGAGCTGCCTCTGCCTCCGCCCCAGCCGCTGTGGGCCGCGGCCGCCTCCCTGGCAGCCTTGCCCCGCAGAGCCCAGGAGGAATTTCCCACAGACGGGCTGGGGGAGCTTAGCTTCCTTACCTGTTTTTCTCGGGGAGGGGGATTTCCAGCTCCTACCCCGCTCTCGTCCCATCCCCAAGGGAGGCCCCCTGCCTGAAACTTTTTAAAGTAACTGTTGAATGGTTAATTTCATCTCACGGTTGTGATTTGAAAGGTACAAAAATGACACAGTAGAGCGTCCCCTTCCTCGAGGGGTGTAAGAGAAAATGCACACGTATGCACACGTTCGTCTGGTGTGCGCACATGCGTGTGCCTGTGTCCTTCCCCCTTGACCCACCGCAGAGTTCCTGCACACGGGCCTTCCCTGCCTGCCCTGGATCCACCCAGATCTGTGTCTGAGGGCGCCACGCGCTCCGTAGGATCACACTGGGTCGTTCCAGTCTTTACTGCTGCCTTGGTGCTGTGGGGACACCCTAAGCCCAGGGTGGGTGTGGGGCAGGGTGGGGAGAGCCTGATGTGGCCTCTAAAGTTCTTGGGGAGGCAGAGTTGGCCCCGCCAGCAGAAGGCTCACAGCTGTCCTGCTGGCCTCCGCCCGGCCGGGGAGTCGGAGTGGGTGCTGATGGTTTGTTTTCACAGGACTCCCCACCCCCACCCCAAAGAAGTACCTGGGTGTTCACACAGGTCCCGGCACGTGAGGCCGGTGACACACACATGTGCCCGCGCACGGACACAGGTTCACACGTGCTCTTGGGCACACTGCCCCCAGGATGCATCTGCAGGCGTTTGGTCCGTGGGGCCGTCCGAACACAGCACCATGGGTGGGGCAGCTTAAACAGCAGTCCTGGGGCCCCGGTCAAGTGTGGGCAGGGCTGCTCTCTCCTGAGGCCTCTCTCCTTGGTGGCAGATGCCGCCTTCTCCTTCGTCCTCGCGAGGCAAAGAGACCCTCCCTCCCTCAAGGTGGGAAGAGACTCTCCTGGGGTCTCTCCCAAAAGGACCACGGTCCTGTGGGGTCAGGGCCCAGCCCTCTGACCCCGTCTAGCCCTAACCACCCCCCTAGAGGCCCCATCTCCAAACACTGCCACGTTGGGGGTTGGCTTCAGTACGTGGGGACACACAGTCCCTGACACTTGCGGTGTTCAGACACACTCAGCCTCACGCACACTCTCCCACACCAGCACCCCCCTGTGTCCGCACCTGCCTGCTTGCCACACTGCTCCACGCCTGCACACGCTCTCCCACGTGCTCCCACGTGTGCACGCTTGCTCTGAGCTAGTTCTGGGCGCTTGTGCCAGGGACCATGCGCTGGAGGCGGGAGCACTCCTTTTCTTCCCCTTGAGCTGGTGCCCAGTCACGGGTCCAGATGGTGAAGGGCCTGTCTCCCGACCCAGTGTGCTGCCTCCGTTCACCCGTGTCCTCTGTGCACCCTTTTGCTGAGGGGGTGAAGACTGGCGTGAATGTGGCCTTTTGTGTGTGTGTGTGTGTGGGGGGGGTAGGAATAGCCAGCCGCCTGTTCCCCTGGAGGGGCCGACCCTGCCCTGTACAGGGAGAGTGGGTGCCCAGAAGGAGCGGGCTTTGGAGGGGTTCTGAGACCAACCCTCCTCCAAGTGGCTTGAGTGGGCAGAGCAGGGCAGGAAGGCATCCAGGGTGCCCCGCTTCCCTGGTGAGATGGGAGCCAGAGGGGTCCCGTGTCGGGGGGGTGGGTGTAGACCGGATGGGCCTGGCAGGGGCCAGGGGGCTGTGGGGCCGCACTTTGGCCCCGGGGTCTGTCTGCATGCTGCAGGAGGGGTCTGGGTTGGTGCCCAGCTGCCAGCTGGCTGAGCCTGAGGTTAGTAGGTGTCGTTGAGGGGATGGGGGCCGGGCCCCGGGGCAGAAGAGAAGCCCACATCCCAGACAGGCTGCCCTCCTGCCACCAGCCCGGGTCAGGGGTCGCCAGCCCATCCTGGGCCTCCTTCCTCCTGGTCCCCCCCTCCTCCCTCCCTCCCCACCCCTCCCCCGCAGCCCTTATAGCCACATCCTGCAAGGAAAAACCCCAGACTCCTGCACCGGGCAGAGATGAGGGTGGTTGTGGGGGCTCAGTGGCCCAGGGCGCCTCACTCAGCTGTCCAGCTCCTGGGGCTCGTGCTGGGCACCGCGGCCACGCTCCACTGTGTCGGGAACACCTACCCCAAAGATGGCAAGTGCTGTAGCGAGTGCCCACCAGGTGAGTGGTCTGGCCATAGAGCTGGGGAGGGATGCCTGTGGGGGCATGGGGATGAGGTACACGGGGAGAGGGGACATGGAGACCTGGGACATGGGGACATGGGGACAAGGGACATGGGGATGGAGACACGGGGATTGGGGAGAGGGAAAGGGGGACAGGGACATGGGGACAAGGGGACAAGGACCATAGGGATGGAGACACGGGGATCGGGGAGGGGGAAAGGGGGACAGGGACATGGGGACAAAGGGACA